TGTTGTTTTTGATTTTCTAAATAATTTTTATCTCGAAAATATTTTAAAACAGCTAATGAAAGTTTTTTAGCCATTTCTTGTTTCCAACGTTTTTCAAGTAGAAAATCTTCAGCTAACCAACACATTTCATCTAATAAATAATCCCAATGTGTTTTACGTTTTTTAGGTTCTATACATTTAGCTAAACGTTGATTTGTCCATTTACCATCAGATTTTAATTCATCAATACGTTTTAATATATGTGCTTCATGTTTAATACGATCAAATGATTGATTTGAAGAATTTATTGATTGATATCGTGGACGTTTACCACAACGTGATGATGATGATGATGGTGGTGTTGATGATGATGTATTATTAATATCATGTAAATTTTTTTCAACTTTTTCAATAAGATCTTCTTCAGCTTGAATAAAACGTTGTTCATCTAATGATAAATTTGATCGATCACACATTTGTAAATTAACATATTCATGAACGAGATTACGATGTGATTGAACAATATCATTAAGACAAATAAACATTGATTGAATATTATTATTATCAGATATAGAATTATTCATTGATGATAAAGTACGAACGCGTTTTAACGGCGTTTGTTGTTCAATGTCTGAATCATTTTGAATTATATTTGATGAACGACGTCGTTTTAAAGTATTAGACGTTGATTCATCATCAATAATTGCGGTAGAATCTACCGCAGAAGTCATCTAGAAGAAAAAACAATCGAATCATTGAATTAAAACACCGACAAGTAAATGAATTATAACTAAGATTTCTTCTGTTTCAACCATCGAAGAATAACTTCATGGGCCTCTATTTATATTTGCATTGGGATTGGTTGATTTAGAACTATGAATATGATTGATAACTACTGACATCTGTGGAATAATCTATCGAGATCTAGGCAAATGAAACGAAAATGTATTCGCTCATTCCGAACATATTTTCGTTTTGTTCACCTTGAATCCTCCTGAAATGCAATAAGAATGTAGTTCATATATAATAACGAGACGTTACTGATATATGGTCTGTTATGATCTCTAACTAGCGTCTGTCACTGACTGTGAGGAAGAGATCGATATGTTTACTTGTATACCTTCGTACTTCATTTAGATTATGCTTCACAAAAAACAAGTTTGTTTTTTAAACTGAAAAATCTGTTAAAATTAATCCTAAGTTTGATAACTATTGTTTCAAATAAAATTAAATATCTAAAGTTATATTGCACTACAATTGGTTATACAATTGAATAGAGACCTTTTTTTTAAAGACAAACAACAAATAATAGAGAAAGAATTTGTGAGAATATTAGAAACAAAACAATACGTAATAATGATAAACATCAAGACTTAAATTTAGATACTGCACATATCCATGTTTCGAATGGAATAATGCGAAAACAGAAATTCATTACATGAGTTTTATGAAAACTGATTTTTTCTTTCTTTTCGTTTCATATTTTCAATTGGTTTATTTCTCATACTATAAACTTCATTCAATTTCCAACTTCTATACGTCGTGTTCAAAAGTCACTCTGTCGAGAAATTCACTTTATATAGGTGCACTTTGTGACTCTCATATCTTCGTCATTTTACATCCTACAACTTTATTTTATACTACGACGAAGAGCATCAAATTTTGTATCCTGTGATATGAGGGAAAGAATTTGCAGTTGTTAAAATTATTGAATAGTGAACGATAGAAAATCAAAAACTAAAAATGTTCGCTTTGTGCGCATTTTCCGAAGGTGGATGTTCAGCGAAAGAATATCTCGAAAATCAACGCATCCGTACAGAACAAGTGAATGAATACAAATTTTACTAATTTGTGCATCAAGATTTCAATGAAATATTTTAATAATTTCAATTTTAAATAAATTTTAAGAAAATATATTTTCTCTGTATTCAGTCAAGTGAATGATCATCAAGAAAATATACGTAAAACAAATACAATAGTCATTTTGACTGGAGATAAAATATCCTTAAGTATTTTACTCATTTTTCATTTAGCGAAATCAAAATTTATATGACAAATATCTTTATCACATTCTAGAGGTTCAATTGAGACAGACGAAGAATAAATTCTAGGGAGTGCCTTTCTTTTTTCTTCGATTGTTCACTTTGTAAAAGAAAATGTTGAAAACTTCAAGTTGATATTTGTGATGCAGCTGAATAGATATATATATGTGCAATAAAAAAGAAAAAAATTAGTCAAGAATAGAGTTTTTATCAATGATATATACACTTATAAAGTAGAGAAAAATGAACGAGATACTCCTTGACCAGAACCATAGAGAAAAGTTACAATTGCGAAAACAGTTATGCTATCAGCTAACGAGTAACAAAACGTTTGTCATTATCGAATAAAATGGGTACAGAGTCGGTAGGAGATAGCTGTTGATAACAATATCTGACTACTACTGTGGAGGAGAGAAGTTGTGATGACTTTTTTTGTTTAAGCGTAAATAAGAATTTTTTTATTATCAGCTGCCGAGTAACTATTCTGCTAAGTGTTATTCTAGTAGTGGTAATTTTCTAGCTCTTGCTATAGTATCTTTCTATGTTGATATTTCATTTAAAAATAGGAAAAATTTTCATATTGTATAACCTGAATAAGTTATAAATCATTCAATAGAACATTAAAATAGAGATCAAGTCAAATTTCTAAATAATTAGAAAAAATAATTGTAGCTTAGAATTACATTAATTTGAGTTCTATTCAAGATAAATAATTTTCATTTGTTACATTCGTTGTTTTTAATTAGAAAGAATAATGTTTTCAACATGTTATGGTGCATAGAAACGAAAAAAAAAAAGATTTGAATAACCTGTCAGAAGCTTTTTTTGTTTCTTTTATCATATTTAAAACATCTAAATGATTTGATAATTGTGTTTAAAAATCTTGTATAGAAGATGAAAATATCATTTTTAAAAGTATAATTTTATCATAATAATTTACCTTATAAACAAACGATAATTGAGTGGTTTTTTTACACTATTAATCTTCTATTTCATTTCTCACATTGAAAATGTAATGTATATTATGATTTAACTAATATTTACACGTAGTCTTGTCTATGTATATTAAGAAATCGATATCTGATCAACTCACGATAAAAATAAATCGTTTATATTTAACAAGTATCATCAATACGCAAAGATGCAACAAAAGCAATGAGACAAGCAAGAATTCTGTATACAAAGATTCAAATTCCAATTATACAACTGTTTCTTATTAAAATCAACAAAATCGACAGAGGTGTAATTAGTTATAGATACTATTGTTTGGCCATCAACATGTCATAGTCTGATGCACTGCATGAGTACCTTTGTCACTACCTTGAATAATGATATTTATTGACCTACTTCATCAATACAGTCGTATATCTCTATCAATACAAATATGTCCTTGTACAGTAGTCAACAAGAGAAGAGAAAGAGAAACATGGCTCGTCAAGGTGCACACTATGAAGAATATTTCATAGTAAGATAAGAAGAAAAGTGAAATATAACATTCAATAACTATTATACATAGTTGTGAACGAAGCACATCTGTAAACAGCTCATAATTTTCAATAGTTTCTCTTTTTAAGTGAAGGATTAAGAAAAAACTATCTTGAATTTATTCTTCATCTGTTTCAATTGAATCTCTAGAATGTGATGAAAATATTTGTCAGCAGAAGTTTATATGAATTTTGATCTCGCTAAATGAAAAATGAGTAAAATATTAAAGGATACTTTATCTACAGTCAAAATAATTATTGTATTCGCTTTAGTGAATACAGAGAATATATTTTCTTAAAATTTATTTAAAAATTGAAATTAATATTGATGAAATATGATACAGTTGAATATGAGAAATCGAATAATACTAATGATAAAATATTTTTTGTTGAAATCTTGATGCACAAATTCACTCGTTCTACATCAATGTATTCGCTTTCAGGACATTTTTTGCCGAACGTCGATTTTAGAGGGACATACATAAAATAAATGTTTTTTAATATTGTACTTGTTTTTTGTCATTTACTACTCAATTATATTAATAGCTATAAACGATTACATCATATCACTGAATGCAAAATTTGATGACCTTGGTCGTAATATAAAAAGAAAAAGATTTTAGGATGTAAAAGACGAAGAAATGAATCACACAATGCACTTATGTGCACTCTATTCGATTTACGGATACGGATTCTATTGTAAACGACATTGCAGCTAAAATTAATATCACCATTATCTGTATATGAACCATCCTCATTCAACTTCTTGACATCAGTATTAATTAGCGAAAAATAATATTTCAATGAATATAAAATAAAAATATTTTCTTTTTTTTTTTGGATTCGATTCGATTCAATTTTCCGACAATTAAGAATAACAAAAGTTCTAAAGTTATGATTATCTAAACTAATAGTAGATATAATAATTTGTATATTTAAATAACCTTGTTTTTTCTTCAAACAAAATGTATATTTCATTAAAAAGAAAATTTATCCTTCATGAAGGTTCTCGAATATACTTGATATTGCTTACAAATGAATACTGAATGAAATAGGTATAATACGTTTTATAACAGATTTGTACGTATAAACAAATTCATCATATAATTATTTATATCACGTGGCTTAGGTGAATTCAGAGTGCAAATTTATTGTGAATATTTAACAAAGAAATCAAATCTAAGCTCGTCTATTTCTGTTTACTATTATTATATCATGCGTAACAGACGAAAGAGAAACGTGATGACTACGCGCGTGCTTCAATTGCGCAAATTTTGACAGGTATGATGATGTAATATGTATTGAGAATATCCAAATATGTACGTGATTAAAGACGTGATTATGTATGTATTCCACGTGATACTTCCACAAGACGATTTACGAAGATGATCAAAATGACGTTGTTATATTTCTATACTGATTCATATAAATATCAGACAGTATTCGATTAAATGAATAGACATTTATCTGTTTTAATACGAACAAACAAAAAAGAATGTTACTCGATACACATAAAATATCTTTAATATATGATTTTTGGAAGTTGAATAATGAAGAAACTTATATACATGATGTTACTGAATTATCACGTAAATTGACTGAATCTGATACAATTGATGGTAAGTTATATTATTATTTTTTTTATATACATTTTTTAAACTTCTTATAGCTCAATACATTCGTGATTGGATTCCTGATCTTGTTCGTTTGGTTGAATTATGGGAAAAAAAATCTTTAAATGAATTGGATAAATTTTATGCAGATTTACTTACAGATGAGTCTGTTAGTGATAAAGCTGATGCTCTATTACGTTTTCTTTATGATATTCAATCATATGAAATGGTTAAATATTTATTAGAAAAGAATGTCGAACATTATAAAAAAGATAAACTTGTATCATCAACAATGAGTGCTTTTCATGAATCATGTATATATGGTTTTAGTCAAGTATGTTTATTATTTATTCGAAATAAACAAGATGTTAATGAACCATTTTCATTAATATATGAAAATTTTAAAACAAATAAAAAAGAAATTGTTCGTAATTTAACTGCATTACAACTTGTTTGTCTTTGGTCAAAATATTTTCCTAAACGACTTCCATCTTATGCACATACAGCTCGAATATTATTAAATAATGGTGCACAAGTTAATACGACATCAACAGAATCAACAACACCACTTCATTGGGCATGTCGAGCAAAACATACAGTACAAATAGCACAAGATCTTATTGAACATGGTGCATGTATTAGTGCACGTGATCAACTTAATATTCAACCAATTCATTATGCATGTTGGGGAAGAAATCAAAATTTAATTGAACTTTTACTTTCAAAAGGTGCTCAACTTACTGAACAAGATGATTTTGGTCGAACAGCAATTCATTTTCTTTGTATGCCAACATATGTTGAAACAATGACTGCTGATGATCAACAACAACAATATGATTTAATGAAATTTTTATTAAATAAATATGAAAAAAATAGTCATCTTATTGATTTAAAAAAAGAAGATAGTCAAGGTCATACATTATTAGCATATGCATGTGTTAGTCAAAATCTTCCATTATTGCAACTTCTTGTTGAACATCAACGGGAATTATTAAATAAAACAACTACCGATGGACGAACACCATTAATGATTGCTATTGATGAATGTTTTGTGGATGGTATTGAATATTTACTTAAACAACCTGGCCTTGAAAGAAATGTTTTTGATACAACTGGTAATACAGCTATACATCATGCATGTATGTGTACAAATATTTCAATGCGTGAGAATCTTCTTCAACTATTAATTAATGATACAAATGGTACATTTGATCTTGAAAAACGAAATGAACAATTAATTGATCCATTTATGTTATGTACAATAAATCAATCAATTGATTTATGTCGTATATTAATTAAAAAAAATGTTTTATTAACAAAAAAAGATCTTTATTCAAGACAACCAATTCATGTTGCATGTCAAATGGGTAATTATGAATTAATATCATTATTAATACAATCTTCAAATGTAAATATAAATGCAGTTGATGATAATAATCGAAATTGTTTATTTTATGCAATAAGTTATGGTGATGAAAAAATTGTTGATTTATTACTTGATAATAATGTAACTATTAAAATACGAGATCGTGTTGGTGATACACCATTACATTTAGCTGTACAACATAAAAAAAATGGATTTAAATTAACAAGTTGTCTTTTAACAAAACAAGATGGAAAAGATTTAATTAATGAACCAGCAGGTGATGGAATGAAACCAATTCTATTAGCAGCAGACAGTAAACAACCAGAAGTTGTTTATCTTTTAATTAAAAATGGTGCTGATGTTAAAGCTGTTGATAGTGAACATCAAACAGCATTACATTTAGCATGTAAAAATGATTGTATGAAAAGTGCTTTTTATCTTATTGAATTTGGAGGTTTAGATGTTAATGAACTTAATTGTTATCGACAAACACCAATATTTCATGCTTATACTACTAATGATTATGATCTTGTTCAATATCTTGTATCATGTGGTGCACGAATTGATCTTCGTGATAGTCAAAATCATTTACCAATTCATGTAGGTATAATTTTATCTCAAGATGAAGATTATAATTTAAATTTAATTGATTTATATAAAAATAAACATGCAAAATTACTTGATGATCAAAGTAATGAAAGTCGTATGACACCATTAATTTTAGCATCTATGCAAGGTAAATTTAATATTGTTAAACATTTAATATTAAATTACAAGGTAAATGTATTGGCAAAATGTTCAAATGGACATTCAGCATTACATTATGCTTGTTTATTAAAAAATTCAAAAGCATTAGAAATAGTCGAATTTTTAATGGAACATGGATGTACATATGAAAAAGTTGATCAACCAAAAGGTGCATTTTTATATACAGTTGCTCAATATGGTGATCGAGAAGCGGCTATGTTTTTTATCAATCATTGGCTTGTAAGTTTATTTTTATTTTTATGAAACATGATTTAAAACACTTTAACAAAATCATCTTTCCTCTATCACAGATATCATAGTATTACCATTGCTTTCTCATAGATTAGGACAGACAGAAATCTACCGTGGAATTTTTATAAAACACAGCTGAATTTAAGATACTGAGGTCGAAAATTCCGGCGTTCGGTTTCGTTTTTTCTCTGCTAGAAGTAGATATAGATGAGATAGCTTCGAGAAGATCGGGACGAACACTTTTTCATTTGAAATAATATCTTTTCTGGTCGTGTAAGATTTATGTCAAATGTTATATTTTCATCTTTCTACCATTTTTCGAAATCTTTCGGACAGAACTGACCGTACATCATTCATCTCTGTAGTTTTTCTTTTCTCTTCTTTCATATTGCATGTATAAGAATTTTTATCTTTATCATTGCATTAACAATAGATAGGAATTTACATATTTTAATTCTTCAAAGATTACGTTAACATCTTGTTTTTCTTTTTTTTTTTATAGAAAAAAAATCCTGATATTAATGAAAAACATTATTGTGCATCAATTCTTGATCTTCTTTTTGATCGTGCACAATTACATCATCATGATATTGATACTGAACATCTTCGAAGTTTAATAGAAAAAGGTGCTTCTTTATACTCATCAAAATTACCAACATTTCCATGTCCATTAATAAATGATTGTCCAGCTTTTTATTTACTTTTACTTGAATACAATTGTATATCAATTATTGATAAATCTAAATTTATTTTTCAACTTTTACATTCTATTTCAACACATCCCGATAATTACTTCTTATTAAATTCAAAAGATAAAGAATTTATAACTGTTTGTGAATATTTCTTAAAAATTGTTCGATTAGTACATTATAATTATAATATTGAACGATTTTATTCACTTATTGAAAAATATTGTCTTCCTCAACTTAATGCTGAACAACCAAGTGAACAAGTTGAAATACTTCAAGAACAATTAGATTCTTTACGATCAACACCATTGAAATTATCTGAATTAGCACGAAAACTAATTCGTACAAAAATAAATCTTCCAACAAAAAAGAAATTCGAACAAATGGGTTTAACTCGACATCTGGTAGAATTTCTTTCACAAGCAACACTTTAAAAAAAAACTAAATATTAATCATACATGTATATTTTTAATGAATGATTAATGTAATTTGTATTTTTTGTTAATATTCAATAAATTGTAAAATTATTGTTTTCAACTTATCTTTGTTGATATTCAGCTTTTAGTTTTTTTTTATTCGATTTCAGTACATCATACTGAAAATAATTTTTCTTCAGGATAAAATTTCATTTATCTTTGATGATAAATTTACACTATGGGAAACTAAATTTTTTCCTTTTTTTTGTAATCAATAAACAGAAAAGATTTCATCTGACATAGAACTAAAGAAATAGAAGAATTCACACAAAAAAACAAATCAATACTCTATATACTAATTATTATCTAAACAACATCAATAAATCTGAATAGGTCACATGAATTTTATGACCGGAATGTATGAAGAAAATGATGAAATTCTCACAAGTGAAAGAGAAATTATTTGTATTGATATAAAGTAAATGAAATACATAAATGTGACTGAACAGAATGAAATGCAGTAAATATCACAATTCTGGAGTAACACATGCATCGAAATTTAATTCATTTGGAATAGTCATAAGCGATGGAAGAGTACTTTGTCTATGATATTCATGATCTTGTTCATCAATTCGAACACGATTTTCATCTTTTTTAATAAGATTTGGGTTTTGAGCATACAATTCAGCACCCCTATTAATATAATAATAAAACTATTTAGAAAACAACAACAACAACAACAACGAATACACACCAATACATTTGTTGTACTAAATATCGACATCGATTAAGTTGAGCTCGAACATCACGTGGTACACGTGAAATAAGATTTCGAACAAGAAAAAGAACACTATATACAAAATGCTAAACAAATAAAAAAATAATCAATTATTAATATATTAACGAAATATTTAAAAAAAAAACTTTACTTCGAAAATAATAACAAATGCTAATCGTGCAACCATTACATAATAAAACATATATGAACGTCCATAATTTCGTGTATGATCCTATACAAAAGAAAAAAAAAAAACATGAATTATTTATATTTAATTCTTACAAGTCGATAATCTTTATAATAACAAGTCGAAAAATCAATTTGTGAACGTATTTCATTAGCTAATGTTGAATTACAATCAAAATATGATAAATGATATGATTGAGCAAATGGTATAAAAAATGTTGATTGTTTAGATAAATCAATTAAACGTGATTCAATAAATTGACATTCAAGTAATGTACGATTAATAATTAATGGAAAATCATTTGAATGAAATGGTGCTAATGTATGATTAAGAAAACCATTTAATGAATAATTTCCAATAGTCCAATAATAAACTTGTCTTGGTATATATTCTGATGTAATTGCAATTAAAAATGCATTTGATAAAACAGTTATTTTAGCCATTATTGTTAATATTGAATTCCATGTTCCAATACCCATTGCACGACGTGCAACAGGTCGACGAAATTCTTTAACTACTTTAAGTGCATCAATACGTATTTCAAATATATTATTTATAAATGCAAATAATGGTGCTAATGGAAATGATAAACAAAAAAATGTTACAAAACCAAATTGTAAAATAATTTCTAAATATTCATAAAATAATGTTGTTAATTCAAATGGTTGTAATAAAAAATCTTCTTCATATGAACGTTTTAAATTAATTGTTAAAATTTGTTCATCTAATTTTTTCATTTTAGCATTACGTTCATTTATTTGTCGTACTGTATGACGAAATGTAATACGTTTACGACACATATTCCATAATTTTGAAAAATAAAATTCCCATATATTTGATATTAATTGTTTACCAATCATTATAATTATTAATTGTATTGATAATTCCCATACACAACCACTTACATCACATTCTTCAAAACGAAATGCTTTTGAATGTCGATCAAGATATGTTGGTTTATATATAATTAATGGTTTTATTAATGCTATATAAAATATACTTGCATAATAATTAACAAATTGAAATAAAAACATTTTTATTGTTAAACTTGCTTCATAAGTTTTATCAGTTCGATGTAATTCAACATTTGTTAACCATATAGCAAGAATTTCATAGAAATATTGTAAAATTAGAATTATAATTAAATTGATTAATGCTAAATAAGAAAAACAATGTTGTTTTTGACATATTTAGATGATGTTGTTGTAATGAAAATTAGGGTTAATAAAAAACAAAATCAAAAAAGTCTATAAAAATTGAAATATGCTAAAAGTATCAACTCTTAGTAGCCTCTATATTTGTCTGAATTTGCTTTTTTTTTATTTTACTTATCATATAGTTAGGGAAAAAAAAGATATAATGCATGTTTTTTTTGAAAAATATTGTTTGATTGTTGAGACAAATCGTTTATTTGATGGAAATTAGTATTGTTGAATATACTATTCGATGTAAATTCTGAATGTGATATTCATTTCTTTCGAAATTGAACTTCTGATAGTCAAACTCATATTTATGGCTAGTAGAATCAAAACAAAAATTCGGATAAATATTGAGGCTAGCGGAACTTGATACTTTTGGCGTAGTTCAATTTTTATAGGTTTTTCTGATTTTTTTTTAGATCTAAGTTTCACAACAAAAATAACAGTTTTTCAGGTAATTCGATGAGGTCTATCCAATCGTGACATAAAAATGTCAAAAAGTCTTTACTCAAACTTCCAATTGCGGGCACCTTATAAGAATATCATGAAAGTTTTAAGTAAAATGACATTCAAATAATTTCTATTAATTATAAATTTTAGAAAAAAAAGTTTTTCTATAGGATATAAATATAAAAAGTTAATAGAGTTCATCAAATAGAAAATATACATCTTAGTTTATCATGTCGTGCTTCAACAAAAATATATGTCTATAAAGTTTTTATCAGTATCTATTGAAATAGAAAGAATGATCAAATTATTCATTTGTGAATAACTACTATCTTATAAATTGTTTTAGTAAAATCAAAATATCTCAATAATTTTACTATACGTAAAACTTCATAGAAGAATAAAAATAAAACAAAAATTATAACACAAAGATTAGAGTAAATTAAAGATAGTATGTAGACTTTCACTTATATATTTTCGAAGTAAAATAGTGAGTGTAAGTTCTAAGTAAAATTTTTGCAGCTCATCCCTTCCCATGCTCTTCATAGCAACCAGAGTCAAAAGTTAATGAGTACGTTTCTTCAGCAATCAAATGGCAAGCACAACACTCTACATCAAAGATCTCTAGCAAAGAAAAAGATACTAAACGGTAGTAAAAATCTATACTTAAGGGCCTTTTAAAGCATTCAAAAATTTTTCTTAAATTCTAAATGATCATAATATGTTTTTAAACTTTGATGCAGATAAATGGTTGTATAGTAGTAGATGCGACTGATAATGGCTAACGATAAGGAGTCAATTTGACACAGCCAGTCTACGACCGATATAAAAAGTAAGACTTAAAGAAATTCTAACTTTCAACAATAATCAATATGCAATTTATTTGTCGAATGTAATTATTTTCGATTGATATTACCGATATCATATCGAACTCTATACATGAACAGACTGATTTTTTCTTAACAATATCGAAATTTAAATTAGCAAATAAACTATGAATCTTTTTTTTGTTTTGTTTTCAATACCTCCAGTTATTGGAACAATAATTGGTTTCCATCGATAAATCCACATTTCTCTATCGATTGAATTAAATGCTGCTGAAACACTTAATCTAATCAAAAATTAATTATTTATGATCAAACTTAAACAACAATGACAATCTTATTATTACCGATAAATAACAATACCAGCAACAACAGCTAAAACAAGAAATACCATTAATACTACAATCGAAAATGATGATCTATATAAAAATGATTTATTTAATATATTAAATTAAAAAAAATAAAAAAAAAAAATAAACATACGTATAATAAAGAAATCTTTTATAAGGTGGTACATATGGTTCAACTTTGTCAGTTACTTTATTTATAATTGTTTTTTCAACACGTCGTTCAAAATCTGGTCGTAATGTTTCAGTTTCTTCAGCAATATCCGTCTAAGAAAAACACAAAAACAATTTATTCTTATTGAATACAATAAATGATTTGTTTGTTTTTTGTCTATTACCATATCCCATTCATATTGAAGTCGAAATTCATGTCGTTGCCAAAGGAAATTAATACTTACAGCAAATATACTTATCATTATAGCAAAAGCTACAGAAGCTGAATTATCAAAAATATAAGACATCTAAAGAAAAAAAAAATAATTGATTGGTTCTTTTTTTTTTTTGACATACTTTTGCATTGAAACAAGTTTCATTTAAAAACCAATATGATTGTCGATCCTAAAATTAAAATAATATAATTAAGATTATTAAAAAAAAATTTTTTTCTTTTTTTTTTACAAGTTTTGGACACATTAAATAACTAGAAGTTGAATTACATGTATCAAGTGTTGGTCTATCATATTTAACCGAAAGAAGACCCCATAAAAGAACAAATATTCCAAGAATTGATGGAATTATTAATAATGAATTATACCATCCAAGCCAAGCAAAATAAAATGCTAAACGTTCACCATAATAATCTCTTATAGCATGAATCGGTTGAATACGAAATATATTTTTAAATTTTGCCCAACGATAATATAATTTCTTAAGAAAAAAATATATTTTTTCGATTTATCAAAAATATATCCAAGTAAAAAAAAAAAAGATGAAATTATACAAAAGAAAAATCTCAATCTCAGAAATAAAGTTCGGCAGAGGCTGAGAAACCTAAAATAATTCTTTATCCGAACATACTCTCGGAATTTTTTTTGAGGTTTTAAACTTGAATGGTTTTGTCAAAAAAAGTTCCGAGAGTGTATCTGGGTGAAGAACTCTTTTAAGTTTCGCAGCCTCTGCCAAACTTAAAAAGGTTTAATATTATGACTTACGAGAGAAATTCTCCAATTAATTAATCGCTTTTGAGTCAAGATTATGTGCATTATGTAGATCGAAATGAGCTATGAATACTTTGAA